CAGTTTCAGCGGCCATTTGTTCCAGCTCCTCCTGCGACATCTTCGACAGATCCTTTTGTCCCATTTGTCCCATTGATAAGAACGTTCGCACGTTGATATTGGCGAATCTGGAGTCGTGGCGAGCTGAATCCAACGCGCTGACTGCGTGGAACGCCGCCGAGCCTCTTGGAGACGCTTCAGAAGACGTTGACGTCGATCCTGAAGCATTCCTCTGAATTGCGGGTCCTTGGATACGGTAGGTGGTGGCGGTCGTGCGGCGTGCCGGTGCTCCTTGGGTTACGGTAGCTGGCTGGGATACTGTAGCTGCTGGTGGTGCCGCTGCTTTATTTGGTCCATGAAGTACTGTAGCGATTCCTGNCAGCCCTTGGGTTGATGTAGCTTGTGGTCGCGGTGGTGTTTGGGGTACTGTAGCTCCTGGTGGGCTTTGGATTACTGTAGGTTGTGGTGCTCCTGGGGCTCTTTGAAGACGGTGTGGTGGTTGTTGCATTCTGCAGGAATAATCATTTTCAGACATTTTCAGCTAATTTTGGGGTATTTCAAGCCATTTTCAGCCAAATTTCAGTCATTTTTAATCTGATTTCGAGGCATTTTCAGACGTTTTGGACTATTTCAAGCTATTTTTAGTCGTTTTATGACTATTTTCAGCCAAATTTAGATCTTTTTCAGCAAATTAAAGACAATTTTCAGCTAATTTCAAGGTATTTTCAGCCAACTTTATGGCATTTTCAGCCAATTTTGGACTACTTTAAGCTATTTTTAAGCCGATAGTGGTATTTTGAAGTTATTTTCAGAAACTGTTGAGTCATTTTCAGCCATTTTTGACCCCTAAAAAAACGCAAAACCTCACCTAAACTGTGCGGATCTGGAGACTCCGCCCACATCTGCCGGATTCAGACCAGCAGCAATTGCACGATGCGGAGCCATTGGAAGCGGTCGACCGCCGGCCGGTGGTCGGTACATTTTCGGTGATCCATGAGGGGATTGTGGTGGTCCGAGTAGCTGAGATGATGACGTGGAAGTTGATGGTTGGAGGGATGGAGGAGGATTACGGTACTGCTGCTGGCTTGGTGATGCATCGACTGGAATTGATAAATTTAGATTTTTTTTGGGATTACTGTAGTCTTGAAAATTAACAATTTTCAAATTTTGGATTACTGTAGATTTGCAATTTCCATTTTTCGCAAAAATCTATATTTTCTTATTTTGGGGATCACTGAGGCTTACTGTAGACTTGAAAATGTTCAAGCTATAGTAATCCATTGTAACCAAAAATGTTTGAAAATCTCGTTTTTTCCTACAGCTACAGTAACCCAAGGACTTCCAGGAATCGCTACAGTACTCCAGGAAACTCCACAAGCAGCTACCGTAACTCGCTCCCACCATTTTTTTTAGTCTTTCCTTCCTTTAAAACTACAGTAACCTAATGACGTCCAGGGAGCTCCATATACAGTATACCAAGAGCCATCTGGCGCCCAACCATCTACCGTAGCCCAAGGAATACGGCTCCGATCGAGGTTTTTACGATTTTCAGCCCTTTTTTTGACCATTGCTGGACCGTTTGAAACTCATTTTCAGACCTTTTACAGCCATTTTCGACTTTTTTCAGCCACTTTCGGCTCATTTTTAGCCACTTTTGGACCATTTTCTGTCAAGATTCCGCCCCCAAACCCTTTACCTTTTCTATACGCATTCTTATAGTAGGGCACTCCTCGTCTCTGCGGTTCTGGAGCATATTTCGCAGGCGACTCAGCCTCCACGAGTTCATCGGGATGCTTCGGCTCCTGTACTCTCTCTAGCGGGATATTCTTCGGTTGTGGTGGCTGTCGTTGTTGTTGTTGGGGGTATCGTGTGGGTCCTAATCCCGGATAATTGGTGGAGCCACGTGGCGTAGTCCCACTAGCTGCATGCGTTTTCCAGCCCTGGAAATGCGATTTTCGGGGTCAAAAATGGGGTTTTTAGCTCAAAATTTGGTATTTTCAGCTCTAAAAACGATTTTTAAGCTGAAAAATGGGTATTTTCAGCCCGAAAAATAGGACTTTAAGCTCAAAATTAGCATTTTCAGCCCGAAAAATACGATTTTAAGCTTTAAAATTGATATTTTTAAATGTGAAAACGATTTGAATGCTGAAAAACGGGTATTTTGCGCTCAAAAATTAGCATTTTTGCTCTAGAAATACGATTTTCGGGGTCAAAAATGGGGATTTTAGCTCTAAAATGAGCAATTTCAGTCCTAAAAATACGATTTTCGGGGTCAAAAGTGGGTTTTTAGCTTTAAAATGAGCATTTTCAGCCTTAAAACTACGATTTTAAGCTCAAAAAAACAATTTCAACCCACCTGGAATGTCATTTTATTGCCTCCTGGCGGCGAGACAAGCGTTGGCGTCTTCCTTTGAATATTGTGGGGGTACGGTGTCGATGGATGGCGAGGAGCAGACGTGTATGGGGTGCGACGAGCCTCTTGTTCTGGAACAAACCCCTCTATTAGAAGGACACTCTTCAGAAAAAAACTCACTTCTCTTGCCCTCTCCATACGAACTGGGATCCAAGGGGCGAACTCTGAAATCACTGATCTTTTTGGAAACAGAAAATTGACACTGCCATTCTATTAGAGGTTTTAGTATCAAAATTAGGTCGAAAATACGGATTTTTGGGATACTTTGAGCCCGAAAATGGTGGTTTTCTAGTTATTTGAAGCTCAAAATCGAATTATCAGGTTCTTTTGAGCCGAAAATGGTGATGTTTGAATGATTTTAAGCTCAAAATTCCAATTTTTCAGCTATTCGGAGCTCAAAATTGTGATTTTTGTGGTGTTTTGAGCCCAAAAATCGCGATTTTCAAGTAACTTTAAGCCCGAAACTAACCTCGCACACGTCAAACTCTTCGCTTCCTCCTCCTGAATCTTCTGTAGGTGTTGCTCGTGGAGCTGCTGTTGAGTGAGCATTGTTTGTGGCTCTCGAGGTCCCATACGTGGCTTTTGGTACGGTACTGTTCCAGGCGGTGGTCCCATTTGTGGTGGACGTAGCAGCTGAGCCGGCGATCCATGGTAACGGCGAACGGGCGGTCCACCGCTGGTGGATTGATGCGAAGAGGATAAGCCGCCGAATTGGGTCATCGGGGAGGCCATCTGAAATGACGTATATGGCCTAGGAATTCAAAAAACTAGGCCACGATGCACATGGTTCTAAAGAGCATTGTCTGAGAGTTCTATATCAGTTTTCAGCGACTTATGGCAATTTCAAAATTTTGGGACGATATGGCCTAGTTTTGGATTTCTAGGCCACCAAACTAAATGGGTCGTAACTTGCTTTAAAATCTATATTTTTTGAATCTGAAAACTGACATGCAACTCTCAAAAGATGATCTTTCAAGCCATGCACACCGCGGGCTAGTTTTACTATTGCAGAGTGGTGGCCTAGAAATCCAAATTTTGTAAAAACTAGGTCACAATGTACATGTTTCAAAAGAGCAAGCTTTGGGAGTTCCATATCAGTTTTCAGACATAATAAACATCGATTTTGAAGGAAGGAATTCCACCACAGTGGCGATGATATCAGAAATCCAAAACTAGGCCATATCGTTCCAAATTTGAAAAAAGCCGTAACTCCCTTCAAAATCGATATTTTTGGAATCTGAAAACTGATTTGGAACTCTCAAAGCCTGCTCATCAAAACCATGTACACTGTGGCCTAGTTTTTAGGACTTCTAGGCCACCTTGGTGATAATTCGTTTGGAAGGTTTTAGTGCCAGATTTTCAATTATTAGCTTCGAAACAGTGATTTTTAGGTTATTTCAGCCGCGAAATTGATGATTTTCAAGCCATTTTTGAGCTAAAAATAGCGGATTTCCGGGTTTTTCAGGTTCTTACCGACTCGATCCTTGACAAGTTGCCCAGCGCACCCTCATCGTCGTCCAATATATTGATTTCAGAAGCACGAGAAGAACTGGTTCGGCTACTATGAATTTTTCGTGGCGATGGTTCTGGAATACATCTCGAGCAGGCGCATCTGATGTCCGATCTCGCGTGCTCTCCTGTAACTTTTGCGGGGATTTTTAAACGGTTTTTCTGGAAAATCAGAGGAAAATCGTCATTTTTTGTGCTGCTAAAATGGGGTATTTTCAGGGCTGAAAATACAATTTTTAGGCTCTCAAATAGTCATTTTAGGCTTCAGAACTGTAATTTTAAGGCTCAAAAGAGCCCATTTTTAGATGCAGATTAGTCATTTTTGACTCAAAAATTGTCATTTTCAGCAATAAAATGATCAATTTCCGCTCTAAAGTCGTCATTTTTAGCTGAACATCATCATTTTTGACTCAAAAATTGTCATTTTTGAGCTCTAAAATAGGTATTTTCAGCTCTAAAATCGTCATTTTTAGTGCTAAAATGAATGGGTTTTTTCTGCCCCAAAATCGTCAGCTAGCTTCGAAATAGTGATTTCTAGCTATAAAAACCTCGTTTTGGTCATTTTAAGCTCCCTCCAAAATCGTATTTTTAGCTCTAAAATAGATATTTTCAGTCCTAAAATTGTCAATTTTGGCTCTAAAATAGTGATTTTTAGCTCGAAAACAGTCATTTTCAGCACCAAAATCGTATTTTTTTCGGCTGAAAATTCGATTGTTAGTTTGAAAATAGACATTTTTGGCTCCAAAAAGCTTAAACATCGTTATTTTTAGCTCCAAAATAGTGATTTTCAGCTCTATAATCGTCTTTTCCAGCCCAAAAACCATCATTTTCAGCTCCAAAATCGATTTTTCAGCAATTTTCAGATAGTTCCTCCAAATTCCCAGCCAAAAACTCACTCATATGCACCGAACATCTCGACTTCTTCCCATCGATCGCTGTGGCTCCACACTCTCTGCACATGCTGAACAATTTCTGGCCACGATCTAGTAGAATGTCTGAAAATCAAGAATTTCAGCTTTCAGAACGATTTTCAGGCTCAGATATGGCCAAAAAGGGGTCAAACTCTCTAAAAAATCGCGATTTTTCTATTAAAACTAGTTCAAACGTCGTGAATTTAAGCATTTTCAGGCTCAAAATCTTTTGAAAATCCTATTTTTTATTCCTATTTTCAAGCTCCAAAATCCCTGATTTCAAGAACCAAAAGTGCTGTTTTCAGAGAATTTCTAGATCAGAAATGCTCAAATTTTCACATTTCCAGACTCAAAATCGCGCGATTTTAAACTTGAAAAAAAACCTGAAAAAACCTCAGAAATGCGGCTTTTTGAGTCAAAATCTCTCGAAAATCGCGTTTTTTACACTAAAAATGGTTCAAAAAAGCCAAAAATAACACTTTTCGGGTCAAAATCCTTCAAAATCGCCAATTTCCCATCAAAAAACAGCTCAAAAACTCACGATCAATGCAAAATTTGTTCAAAGGCAGCGCTGCATTCTTGCACTTCTCCTCGGGGACCGAAATCGGTGTTGAACCACATACTTTCGCTAGAAGACTGTGAATAACGTGATTGATGACTTGTTGATCGTCCATTTCGGGTCCAACACAGCATGGCTTGAATACCGGGTCCGTTGTCTGGAAATTGCGTTTTTTTAGAGTTTAGCATCAATAAATGAAGAATTTGGGTTCAAAAATGAGAAATTTAGCACATTTCAAGTCTGGAAGTGACCATTTTTGCATAGAAAATGACATTTTTCAGCCTAAACATGAGCAATTTCGCCTATTTTTTACCTGAAAATGGCATTTTTCAGAGGTTTTAGCACATGAAACAGACATTTTTGGCTCAATTTCGTCTATTATTTGTCTGGAAATAACCTTTTCAGGGACATTTTTGAGATTTTTAGCATAGAAAATTACAATTTTAGGCATAATTTCGACTACTTTTGACCTGAAAAGTCCGTTTTTTGAGTCAAAAACCTCGATTTCTGGGGTTTAAAGCTTACCGTAAGCACTAGATCATCCAGTTTTCCGTACTTCTCAGCTGCTCGAATCACACGTCGTTGTGCCATATCAGTGGGTAGTTCTGGAGAACGATTTTAGGTGATTTTTGGTCGATTTTTGTGAATTTTCAGTCGAAAATGACACTTTTTGGGGCAATTTTAATGATTTTTGGATAATTTTTTCTCTAAAAATCGAATTTAATAATTAATTTTTGTAAATTTTCTGGGTCAATTTTACTAATTTTTGGGTCATTTTCCATGGAATCTAGGTCAAATTTTACGATTTTTGGATCAATTTTTGGAATTTTAGAGTATTTTCACTGAACTTTTCAGTGAAAAATGAAAATTTGGACCATTTTTAGGCGAATTTTTCTCTTATTTTAAAGCCAATTTTAGTGATTTTAAGGTAATTTCACTGATTTTTGATGTCATTTTGAGCAATTTAAGACATTTTTCAAGTGGATTTTAGTTCATTTTTGGTCAAAAATGACACTTTTCGAGGCGATTTTAGTGATTTTTGGGAAATTTTAGTCATTTTTGAGTAGTTTTTTCTGATTTTTGGGTCATTTTCCATGGAATCTAGGTCAAATTTTACGATTTTTGGGGTTTTTCTCTCGTACCATCATCATCCTCCTCGTCCATCAACATCAACTCGTGCTCTTTCTGTGCCTGAGCGGTGAGCAGCCGTCGGAATTCCTCCAAATCCGTGATATCCTGTCGGACAAGGTCCATTTTGATTCGAAGCAGGTCTTTTTCGGTGAAACGACCGGCGTATCTGAAGAGTTTGGGGGTTTTTTGATGGGAAAATCGCTTTTTGGGTCAAAAATGGCATGTTTAGGATCAAAATTGACCGAAAAATGTCATATCCAGGGAGAAAAAGACTGAAACAAGCTATTTTTAGAGTCAAAATCGATCGAAAAAGATGTTTTTAGAGTGAAAAATGCCACTTTTAGGGTCTAAATTAATCAAAAATGCCATTTTTCAGGCCAAAATTCAGGGGTTTTTGGAGAAAAAATGGCAAAAAATAGCTGTTTCTATTGCCAAAAATGCTATTTTTAGAGTCAAATTTCAATAAAAATGACCTTTCCAAAAAGGAAATGGCCAGAAAAAGCTATTATTAGGGATAAAAAAGGCCATTTTCCTAGCAAAAATAGACTAAAAAAGCTATTTTTAGGGCCAAAAACCAATAAAAATGTCATTTTTCAAGCCAAAATTAGAGATTTTCTGGCTGAAAATGACTGAAAACGAGTATTTTTTAAGGCCAAAAACGACATTTCTAGGAAGAAAATGACCAAAAATAGCTATTTTTCGAGTCAAAATCGATCAAAAAAGATGTTTTTAGAGTGAAAAATGCCATTTTTAGGATCAAAATTATTCAAAAGTGCCATTTTCAGGGTCAAAATCCAAAAAAAAAGTTTTTTTTTTTTTCAAGCCAAAATTAGGGGTTTTCTGGGGGAAAAGCAGTTGTTTTTAGGTTCAAAAATGTCATTTTTAAGATCAAAATTCAATAAAAATGCCATTTCCAGAATGAAAATGACAAAAAAAACTGTTTTTAGGGTCAAAAATGCCCTTTGTCAAGCGAAAATCGACAACATATGACATATTTATGGTCAAAATCGACCAAAAATGATATTTCCAGGAAGAAAAAGAAACATCCATTTTTAGTGTCAAAAGTGCCATTTTTCAAGTCAAAATCGGCACTTTTAGGCTCAAAATCAACCAAAATAGTCATTTTAAGCGTCAAAATCGACCAAAAATGTCACTTTTTAGACCAAAACCGCTACCTCAATGGATGACTGTCTAGAATAGAGTTGTTGGCGAATTCCTGAGTGCCTACTGGAACTTCCTGGATTGCTTGAAGAAAATCGTCGTCGTCGCTGGAAAAATATAGATTTTGAGCCTAGAAATGTGGCAAAAATCGCAATTTTAGGCATCGGAGTTTCAGCTAAAAACTTGAAAAATAATATTTTTAGGCTCAAAAACGCGATTTTCCGGCTAAGATGCCTCAAAAATCAGCTCAAAAACCGTCGAAACTCACGAAATATAGTCATTCGACACAATCCATGGATCAAACCGCCTTCTGGCCATTTTTGAATCGTTCTCCGCATGGCACCTCTGCACTTCTTTTCGGTGATTTTGTTCTAGAACCTTTGCGAGCTCCTTGTGCTCCTCACACTGGCCTCCGTTTCGAGCAAGATCGTCTTTGGAGCGAATCTGGAATTTTTTTATATTAGAAAAATGAAATTTTCAAATTTTCGCACCTGTTTACACTTAATCAACGTTCTGAAAGAGACATAATTGCACTGCCCATACTTGTTCTTGTCGTATTCATTGGCGACAAGACGAAATTGGGTTCCGGGCGCTACGATGTACTGCGCGGGCGGTCGAGTGGCTTGTTTCATGAATCTGTCAAAAATAGATAGAATTAGCTATTTTTTATTGGATAGATCGCAAAAAAACGGGAAAAAAATGGTGAAAAACGAGGTTTTTCGAGCTAAAAAATAGAGAAATTCGAGGAAATTTTCTGCTAAACAACGCGCGCATAGCGGTATTTCGGAGCATCGTAGCGGGATATCGGAGCATCGTTGCGCGGTTTTTTCAACGAATTTCGGCGATTTTTTAATGTATTTACAGAATTTTTGAACCAAAAAATAATCAAAAATTTTAGCCTAAAAATGCCGCAATAATGTTTCGAAAACTAGGCTCGTCGGGTTCGCTGTGGAAGCCAAAGAATCCACACTCGCTGGAGTACCTGAAATATTTACAAGGCGTTTTGACGAAAAACGAAAAAGTGACAGAGAATAACAAGAAGATACTGGTCGAGGCGTTACGAGCGATTGCTGAGATTTTGATTTGGGGCGATCAGAATGATGCCTCTGTGTTTGAGTTGGTGGAAAATTGATTTTTTGGAAAATTTTTTCAAAATTTCAGCTTCTTCCTGGAACGCCAAATGCTCACACATTTCCTGAAAATCATGGAACAAGGAATCACACAATTAAATGTGCAATTATTGCAGACTTTGAACATTTTATTCGAGAATATTCGACATGAAACTTCATTGTGTGAGTTTTCAGGCTTAAAAATCGTTAGAATGGTGGTTTTACGCTATTTTGAGTCTGAAAAAAGCTGAAAAATCGAAATTTTCAGCATAAAATCGCCTATTTTCAGCCGAAAACCACTAAAAAAATGCAAATATTTCATTGAAAACTGATTTTGGAGTTTTTCATCCAAAAATTCCCGAATTTCTCCGTTTTTGGCTTAAAATGAGCGTTTCTCGAGTTGAAAATACTTGAAAAATTGAAATTTTCATCTAAAAATTGCCTATTTTCAGCTGAAAAGTCACTAAAAAATGCTGATTCAATTTTGAAAAACGTTGTTTTTCCGATTTTTTTCAAAAATTTTCACCCAAAAATCACGAATTTTCTAGTTTTTGTCCTGAAATGAGCCTTTTTAGTGTTAAAAGTATCAGAACAATCAAGAATTTCAGCTAAAATTTACCGGAAAATGCTAATTTTTTCACTTTTTAGGTACAAAAACGCTCTAAAAATCTCAAAATTTCCAGTTTTTGGCTTAAAAAGAGCTCATCTACGGTTTAAAATAGCCGAAAAATCAAGAATTTCAGCCGAAAATTGGCAAAAATACCCTTCTCCGGCCCAAATTTCATCAAAATCAATCAATTTTGCAGTCAAAAATCCGCTATTTTACTGCTAAAAATAGGCATTTTGAAGTCGAAAATGCTCCAAAATTGCTAATTTTTGAATAAAAATAGCTGAAAAATCAGAATTTTTGACTGAAAATAGCCTATTTTCAGCCAAAAATTTACATAAAACGCCAATTTTTCAAATTTTTCACTCAAAAAAGCATGAAATTCTCAATTTTTGGCTAAAAATGAGCGTTTCTAGAGTTGAAAATAGTTTTAAAAAATCAGAATTTCCAGCTAAAAATCGTCTATTTAAGCCAAAAATCACCAAAAAAAGATGGTTTTGAAGTCAAAAATGCTCCAAAATCCCGGTTTTTTTAACATTTCAAAACCTAATTTCCACAGTTTTTGTCTTAAAATTGCCTGAAATTTCCGAATTTCCCACCTAAAACCCCTCAATTTTTTTCCAGATTTCCTGCTCTCCAACAACCATGTCAACTCGATAATTTCGCACAAATTCGACCTGCAAAACGATGAAATCATGGCGTATTACATCAGTTTTCTGAAGACCCTCTCATTCAAACTCAATCCAGCCACTATTCATTTTTTCTTCAACGAGACGACTGAGGAGTTCCCATTGCTGGTCGAAGTGCTCAAATTATACAATTGGAATGAGTCGATGGTTCGGATTGCTGTTAGGAACATTCTATTGAATATTGTCCGGGTGGATGATGATTCAATGACCATTTTTGTCATTAGACATATCAAGGTGGGTCTTTTTTGGCTGAAAATTGAGAAAATTTGGCTGAACAACGGCTGAAAATGATGAAAAATTGCTTTAAATTGGCTGAAAATAGTAAAAAGTGGCTGAAAATGACGAAAAATCGGCTGAAAATGGCCAAAAATCCACTGAAAATGACCGAAAAATCAGCTGAAAACGATGAAAGAACGGCTGGAAATAGCGAAAAAGTGGCTGAAAATTGCCTAAAATCGGCTGAAAATGATCAAAAAACGGCTGAGAATTATGAAAAATCGACTGAAAATAATGAAAAATCGGTTAAAATTGGTTGAAAATGACATTTTGGAGCAGTTTAGACCAAGTATCGACCATTTCAAGCCAATTTTAACCGATTTCAGACCATTCTAAGCCAATTTCGGAGTATTTTAGATCCATTTTAGGCTAATTTTAGCCTACCTTAACCCAATTTCGGAGCATTGAACCGATTTTGAACCGATTTTAATCGATTTTCCGCTATTTCTGGATTATTTTCAATAAGTCCGAAAGGCGGAAAATTATGAAAAATCACAAAATATCGCTGAAAATGACCTTGGAACAGCTTGAAATTCGATGATTAGGTTTCTAGGCCACCTAGAATGGCCTAGAACTCCCAATATCTAGCGGTGGCCTAGAATTTCAATATCTGAAAAGTTCGGTCACGGGTTGTGTCACGATCAAAAAATCGTTTTCAAATTCGAAAAATATCGGCTAAGAAGTTAGTTACGACCATTTTAGTTCAGTGGCCTAGAAATCCAAGTTTTATGAAAACTAGGCCACGATGTACATGATTCGAAAGAGCATGTTCTGACTGTTCCGAATCAGTTTTTAGATTTGTAAAATGTCGATTTTGAAGCGAGTTATGGACATTTCAAATTTGGGGCAATATGGCCTAGTTTTGGATTTCTAGGCCACCAAACTAAAATGTCCATAACTCACTTCAAAATCGATATTTTTCAAATCTAAAAACTGATATGGAACACTCAGAACATGCTCTTTCGAACCATGCACATCATGGCCTAACTTTTACGAAATTTGGATTTCTAGGCCACCAGACTAAAATGGAAGTAACTTGCTTCAAAATTGATATTTTTAAAATCTGAAAAATGATATAGAACTCTAGCCATTTCCTCTTTTTCCAGGAATACCTATCTGAGCTAATCGATTCCCTTGTTGCCCTATCAGTTGAAATGGATACATTCGTCCGATCGGCAGAGAATGTGCTAGCGAATCGAGAGAGATTACGAGGCAAAGTGGATGATCTGATCGATTTGATTCATTATATTGGAGAATTGCTAGAAGTTGAAGCTGTCGCCGAGACATTGTCTGTTTTTGGTGGGTTTTGAATTGAAAGTTGAACTTTTAAAACTATAAAAACTCAAAATTTCGTAGTATTGAATCCCGAAAATTGCAGAAAAATCGATTTTCACACTCCAAAAGTTCCGGAAAATGCATTTTTGGAACTGAAAATGAGCTAAAATAAGCATTTTCTCGCTGAAAATCCGTTAAAAATGGTTCAAATTTGGCCAGAATCGATCGGCGAAAACAGCCTTGAAATAGACTAAAAATGCTTGAAATTCGAAATTTTGGATTTCTAGGCCACCTTGTCGGATTCTGTGCCATCACACAGCACCTAGAATAGTCTAGAATCCCCGAAAACTCTGAATCACTTTCCCGAAATTAAATAAAAACCACAAATTTGAAGCTAAATACGCCAATTTAGTTCGGTGGCCTAGAAATCCAACTGTTGGACAACTAGGTCATGGTGTACATGGTTCGAAAGTGCATGTTCTGCAAGTTCCATATCAGTTTTAGATTTCGAAAATATCGATTTTGAAGCGAGTTATGACCGTTTTAGTTCAGTGGCCTAGAAATCCAAATTTTCAAAAAGTTAGGCCATGGTGTACCTGGTTCGAAAGAGCATGTTTTGAGAGTTCCAGATCAGTTTTCAAATATGAAAAATATTGATTTTCCAGCGACTTATGACCATTTCAAAATCTTGGGACGATATGGCCTAGTTTTGAATTTCTAGGCCACCAAACAAAAATGGCCATAACTCGCTTCTAAATCGATATTTTCCGAAACTTAAAACTGATTTGGAACTCTCAGAGGGTGCCCTTTCAAACCATGTACACCATGGCCTAGATTTTAGAAAATTTGGGTTCCTAGGCCACCATGCTGAAATGGCTATAACTTGCTTCAAAATGGTCATTTTTGGATTCTTAAGAGTGACTTGGAATTCTAAAACTTTGGGTGACAACGCCCCAGCTTCCCATAGAAGTTCTAGGCAATTTCAAAGTGGTGGCCTAGAAATCCAAACTTCGAAAAGTTAGACCCTGGTGTACATGGTTCGAAAGAGCATGTTCTGAGAGTTCCATGACAGTTTTTAGATTTCCGAAATATCGATTTAGAAGCGAGTTATGACCATTTTTGGACGATATGGCCTAATTTTGGGTTTCTAGGCCACCAAACTAAAATGGCTATTACTCTCTTCTAAATCAATATTTTGCAATTCTAAAAACTGTCATGGAACTGTCAGAACATGTTCTTTCGAGGCATGTAGATCATGACCTAACTTTTTCAAATTTGAATTTCTAGGCCACCATGCTCAAATGGCCATAACTCGCTTCAAAATTGTCATTTTTGGATTCTGAAAAGTGATTCAGACATTTCGAAATTCGCTTCACCATAGCTTTCCGTAATGTCGAAGTTTTAAGCAATTTCAAACTGGTGGTCTAGAAATCCAAATTTTAAAAACTAGGCCATGGTTCGAAAGAGCATGTTCTGAGAGTTCGATCACAGTTTTTAGATTCAACAAATATCGAATTAAAAGTGAGTTATGGCCATTTTAGTATGGTGGCCTAGAAATCCAAAACTAGGCCATATCTTCCCAAGATTTTGAAATAGTCATAAGTCGCTGGAAAATCAATATTTTTCATATTTGAAAACTGATCTGGAACTCTCAAAACATGATCTTTCGAACCAGGTACACCATGGCCTAACTTTTCGAAAATTTGGATTTCTAGGCCAACTAACTAAAATGGTTATAACTCGCTTCAAAATTGATATTTTTCAAATATCTCAAAATTCCCCCATTTTCAGTGACAACTCGCTACCTGAGCCCCCTGCTGCTCTCCAGCCTCTCCCCCCGACGGGACAATCACTCTCTGCTGCTCACTCCAGTCTCCGCCCTCTTCTTCTTCTCGCAATTCCTTCTGGTGGTCCGTCATCATGAGACAATTCACACCTTCTTATCATCATTCCTATTTGACAATCAAAAAACACTGATGACCCATTGGATACGACACGAACAGAACTTTTGTCTCGAGCCAATCACAATGGCATCGGCTGTGGGGGAGATGGGGGATCAGAATTGGTAAGGGATGACATTTTGTGCATGCTTTGATACTATGACAGTTTTCAGATTCGAATTCTGAAGCGAGTTACGCTCATTTTTGTTTGATGGCCTAGGAAATCAAATTCTGAAAAGTTAGGCCATGGTGTGCTTGATTTTGAAGAGCATGCTTTGAGAGAATTCAATATCAGTTTTCAGATTTGAAAAATATCGATTTAGAAGCGAGTTATGGCCATTTTAGTTTGGTGGCCTAGAAATCCAAAACTAGGCCATATCAACCCAAATTTGAAATGATCATAACTCGCTTCTAAATCGATGTTTTCCAAATCTGAAAAGTGATATGGATCTGCCAAAGCTTGCTCTTTCGAACCATGTACACCATGACCTAGTTTTCACAAAATTTGGGTTTCTAGGCCACCAAGATAAAATGATCTCAATTCGCTTGAGAATTGATGTTTTGCAAATCCGAAAATTGTTTTAGACTTTACAAGACAAGAGCTTCTAAACCAATCATACCATGGCCTAACTTTTCGAAATTTGGATTTCTAGGCCACCAACTTAAAGTTCGGAAAACTAGGCCATGGTCTATATGGTTCTAAAGAGCATGCTTTGAGAGTTCCATATCAGTTTTTAGATTGGAAAAATATCGATTTTGAAGCGAGTTATGGACATTTTAGTTTAGTGGCCTAGAAATCCAAAACTAGGCCATATCAGTTCAAAATTGAAACGGCCATAACTCGTTTCAAAATTGATATTTTTCGAATTTAAAAACTGCCATAGAACTCTCAGAACATACTCTTCGAAACCATGTACACCATGGCCTAACTTCTTAAAAATTTGGGATTCTAGGCCACCAAATTGAAATTCACCTAATTAGCTTCAAAATCGATGGTTTTTCCATTCTAAAAACTGATATGGATTTCTTGAAACATGCTTTTTTTAGCCATCAAGATGTGAAAATCCCTGAAAATTTCAAAATCTGAGAGTTCTGGAATTTTCCGTGTTGGAGAATTGTTGAAATTCCCAAAATTTGAAAATTCTAGAATTTTCAGTTTTCAAAAATCCCAGAATCCCAAATTTTCAGTGTCTTCTTCGACAATCTTCTCGAAGCATTCGACACGTGTCAACTGGACGATTCGAGAGCATTCTATGGACTAATGCTCATTTATTCAATGTTTCAGAATAAAGGTGAGTTTTGGGGGTTGAAAATGGCTGAAAATTCAGATTTTCTGGTGTTTTTGAGTCGAAAAATCAATTTTTCAGTTGAAAAATGGCTACGAAACCACATTTTTAGTGCCTAAAATCGCTAAAAAGGCGATTTTTAGCTCAAAAATGATTCCTAATTTTAAATTTCTTGCCTAAAAAATGTGATTTTTGACCTAAAAGTGCTATAAAATCCTTTAAAAATGTTCAAAAATTGCTGAAAATAGTGATTTTGGACACTAGAATTTCCCCAAAAAACATGAACTTTTCCATATACATTGCTCATATTCTTCAGACAGTAAGTTTCATTGTATAAATATTGTGATGTGTCAAATTGGTCCCTTTCTGGCTTGCATGGGCTCTTTCTCTATCGCTTGAAAACTGAAATTTCTCTATTTTCGGTGGAAAAATGGCTTATACCATGAATTTTGGCTCAGTTTTCATTGATTTTATGCCGAAAATTCTGATTTCTAGCTCTCAAAAATAGCAAATTTGGCTGAAAATAGCTGAAAATCTGCCAAAAATCATGATTTTTTGCTTTTTATTTTTCATAGATTTTAAGCCTAGAATTCGGAATTTCAGCTCAAAAATTGATATTTCAGGTTTTTCTAGCATGATCTCCATACTCGATTTTTCTGATTTTCAGATTTTTCGCTTCCAAATTTCCCTAAAAATCCAAAAATCCCCATTTCCAGCTGATGTTGGTGAGCTCCTTTCCGCCGCCAACTTCCCGGTGCTCCATCGGGAATCTGGGAGTACAGTGATCCCATCGAATGAGCAATCATCGCTGGCCCAACAGAATCTGGCACGTCTTCGGAGTCTATCGACGTCGTCACAAGGAAAAAGAACCCGGGCGATGACGGAAATTGGAGTGGAAGCGACAGAGGAGGATGAGATATTCCATGATGTGCCGGAGGAGAGGAATTTGGTCAGGAAAATGCATTTTTGTGGCTGAAAATGCGCTGAAAATGAGCCAAAATCGACCAAATGTGGTCTAGAAACGGCAAAAACAGGCTAAAAATGACCAAAATATGCATTTTCCAGCTGAAAATCCGTTAAAAATGAGCCAAAACAGGCTTAAAATAGGCTTAACATGGCCAAAAACGCTTTAAATTCGAAAATTTGGGTTTCTAGGCCACCTTGTCGGACTCTAGGCCATCAACAATGATAGTGGCCTAGAATCCCAAAGTTTGGGATTTTCTAGGCCACCAATAAATACAGGCAAATCTTCACGTTAAATGGTACTCTAGGTATTGACTTGATGGCCTAGAAAAACCCAAATGCACCAGTTTTTGGAAATCTAGGCCATTTAAAGTTGATGGACTAGAAACCCAAAATTAGATTTTTCTAGACCATCACTTGGTTTTGGTTTTTCTATGGCCTAGAATTTCAAGAATGGGGGAGGGGGGTTTCTAGGCCACCCTGCTTTTTTTTCGGATTTTCCAAAACTAAAAATGGACACATTTTAGTTCTGGCGGCCTAGAAATCCAAAACTAGGCCATATCAACCCAAATTTGAAATGATCATAACTCGCTTCAAAATCGATATTTTCCAAATCTGAAAAGTGATATGGATCTGCCAAAGCTTGCTCTTTCGAACCATGTACACCATGATCTAGTGTTCACAAATTTTGGGTTTCTAGGCCACCAACAAAAAAGCCATCATAACTAACTTCAAAGTTTTGCTTTTTCGATTTTGAAAAGTGATTTAGAATTGTAAAACTTTGAGGTATCATATTTCCGTAATGCTGGAATTTCAGGAAGTTTTGAAGTGGTGGCCTAGAAATCCAAATTTCGAAAAAGTTAGGCCATGTTGTACAAGGTTCAAGAAAAATTCTCTGAGAGTTCCATATCAGTTTTCAGATTTAAAAAAATATCGATTTTGAAGCGTGTTATGGCCATTTCAAGATTTTGGTAAGATATGACCTAGTTTTGGATTTCTAGGCCACCGAACTAAAATGGCTATAACTCACTTTGAACTCAATATTTTTCAAATCTAAAAACTGATATGGAACTCTCAAAGTATGCTCTTCAAAACCATGTACACCGTGGCATAGGATTCCTAGATTTGGGTTTCTAGGCCACCTAGGTTTATTGGCTCAAAATGCGCTAAAAAATTGATCAAAAACTCGTTTTTTTTTGTTTTGAAAAGACGAAAAATGATTACAGGAAGACCTGATTGATGATCCATTTGCTGCTGATAGCAATGCTTATCAGGATGTGAGTGATTAAACTGCATGAGCATGAAAACTATCCGGCGGGAAATTCGAATTTTTTGGAATTTTTTCAAGCTAAAAAATCTGGAAAAAAAAAATGAAAATTGGGCTAAATCTAATCGTTTTTGGACCTCAGAATCGTCAATTTCAGTCAAAATCCTTGATTTTCCGTCATTTTTCTCATTTTCAGCCGGACGAAACTGGCCGCTCCCGATTCCAATCGGCTGCCGATGAGCTCCCGCCTTCTGAATCCACGACGACGTCTTCTGAATGCGATAGCCGGCTATTCGATGCCCTATCTTGTATTATTCAAGGCGTGCGCGTTGATGAGAACAAGATTCGACCGATTACGCTGGAATTGGCTTGTCTGGTGATTCGACAGATTTTGATGACGGTGGATGATGAGAAAGTGAGCAATTTGGGCCCAAAAATCAGAAAATTCAGCTTCCGAAGCATCCGGGACACTTTTCAAAATCAGAAAATCTCAATTTTGAAGCTAGTTACGCTTGGTGGCCTAGAAAACCAAAATTTGTGAAAACCAGGTCATGGTGTACATGGTTCGAAAGAGCATGTTTTGAGAGTTCCAGATCAGTTTTTAGATTTCAAAAATATCGATTTTGAAGCTAGTTACGCTCATTTGAAGTTGGTGGCCTAGAAATCCAAAACTAGGTCAGATCGGGCCAAATTTGAAATGGCCATAACTTACTTCAAAATCGATATTTTTCAAATCTGAAAAGTGAAACGGAACTCGGAAATTTTGCTCTTTCGAACCACACAATGGCCTAACTTTTTGGAAATTTGGATTTCTAGGCCACCAACCTAAAATTGACGTAATTGGCTTTAAAAGCGATATTTTGCAAATCTGAAAAGCGTTTTGAACATGAAAATCAGTATTTTTCAAGCCAAGCACACAATGTCTTAATTGTTAAATTTCCAGGTGCACACAAGTCTGACCAAACTATGCTCGGAGGTTCGTCAAAAGCTTCTCGCCACCATCGGACAGTATGTCAACGGAGAGAACCTATTCCTGGAGTGGTTCGAGGAACAATATGCGGAATTCGAGGTGAACCACGTGAATTTCGATATCATCGGATATGAGATGCTTCTGCCACCCGCTGCGACGCCCCTGTCGGGGTTAGTACTTCATAAACGGCTTGCAAGTGGATTCGAGGAAAGATTAAGGACGGTAAGCGCTTAATTTTAGTTTTAGAGGAGGTTCTAATGGCTTAGTTTTCCCTTTTTGGCCTTTCTATGCCAAGTTTGAGCCAAGCTATTGTCTTTTCAATAAAACGTGG